CGGCAACGGATCGCAACCCTCAGTGTCTCTCCCGTACCGGACCGGGACCGGCAACGGGATTGCAACCCTCGGTGCTGCTCCCGCGCCTCACTCAGCCAGTGAGCGGGAACCGGTCTGTATGTGGGATCCGAACCCTCGGGCAGGAGCGCCGCCGCGCCTCCCAAGCGGCGCACTATCCAGTGCACCACCGGGCCGGCCCTTCCCCTTGTCTTTTAATTCCTTTCTTATTTTCCTTCCCCCGCCCCCTGCACTGCACCCCTCCCCCCTGCACCACTCCATGAGCATGCATTATTCTTCATAAGGAACAAAATAAAGGGGAAAAACAAAACCCATGAAGCCAATAAATGACAAAGATTTGGGGAAAACAGGAAATTCCACAGAGAAAGCAAAGATCAGGGGCCAGCCTGTGGCTCACTTGGGAGAGTGCGGTGCTGATAACACCAAGGCCCCGGGTTCGGATCCCACATAGGGATGGCCGGTTTGCTCACTGGCTGAGCGTGGTGCTGACAACACCAGGCCAAGGGTTGAGATCCCCTTACCGGTCATCTTTAAAAAAAAAAAAAAAAGAGAAAGCAAAGATTATACCAAAGAACTTAAGAGTAAATGGAGGTTCATTATCCTTCCCTAAGGAAGATAAAAATCACAAAATTCCTAGGGCACGACATCTATCTAGTCCAGGCATGACTGGCTACATAATTTGCACGGCCCGGTGTAAAATGAAGATGCAGAGCCCCTGTTCAGAAAGTATTAAGAACTTCAAGATTGTGATAGTGGAGTGTTAAACCAAGTGCAGGCCCTGCTAGACATGAAATCCTGTGTGACCGTACATGTCTTATACCCATGAAACTAGTCCTAAGTCCAGAGTCTCCCAAACCTTGCTGGTTGTCAGAATCACCTGAGGAACTTCTTTTTTTAAAAATTAAGATATAATTCACATACATAAATTTCATCATGTTAATGTGCAAAATTCAGTGGTTTTTAATATATTCACAAAGTTGTATAACTATCATCACTGTCTAATTCCAGAACATTTTTGTCACTCCAAAAAAGGAACACTGTACTCACTAGCAGTCACTCCCCTTTCCCCAATTCTCAACCACCAATATACTTTCTGTCTCTATAAATTTGCCTATTTGAAACTTTCATATAAACGGAATCACAAAATATGTGGTTCTGTGTCTTCTTACACATAGCATATGTTTTGAAGGCTCATCCATGTTGTAGCATGTATCAGTACTCCATACCATTTGTTTGTTTGTTTTTGGTGGCTGGCTGGTACAGGGATCGAACCCTTGACCTTGGTGTTATCAGCACCATGCAGTACTCCATACCATTTCATGGCTACATAATATTCTATTATATGTATATAACATATTTTGTTTATTACTGATGGACATTTGGGAAGTTTCCACTTTTTGGCTATTATGAATAATGCTGCTATAAACATTCTTGTACAAGTTTTTGTGTGAATATATATTATTATGGTCTGAATGTTTGTCCCTTCCAAAGCTCATGTAGAAGATGGATCCCTAATGTGGCACTGTTGAGAAATGGGGCCATTAGAAGGTGATTGGATCATGAGGGCTTGGCCCCCATAAGTAGATCAATCCATTCATGGATTAATGGGTTAATGGATGAGTGGGTTATCACAGGAGTGGTGTTGGTAGCTTTATAAGTAGAGCAAGTGAGCACATTAGCACATTTGGCCCTCTCACCATGTGATACCCTCCACCACCTGGGGACTAGGCAGTGAGTTCCCACCAGGAAGAAAGCCCTCACCAGATGCACCCCCTGGACCTTGGGACTTTCCAGCCTCCAAAGCTGTAAAAAATAAATTCTTTCTTTGTAAATTACCCAGTTTCAGGTATTCTAGGTGACAGAAAACAGACTAGTAAATATGTTTTCGTTTCTCTTGGTAAATGCCTTGAAGTAGAATTTTGGGGTCTTATGGTAACTATGTTTAACTTTCTGAAAAACTGCCACACTATTTTCTGCAGTAGCTGTACCATTTTACATTCCCATGAGCAAATTAAGGTGGGACATATGAAAAATGTTTCTCCACATCTTTGCCAACATTTGTCCATCTTTTTGATTACAGCTAAACTAGTGGGTATGAGGTGGAATATCATTGTGGTTTTCACTGCATTTCTCTATTGGCTAATGATACTGAACATCTTTTCACGTGTTTATTGGCTATTTGTATATCTTTTTTGAAGAAATGTCTATTTGGGTCCTTTGCCCATTTAAAAACTTAAAAAATTTTTTTTTTTTAGCTGCTGACCAGTATGGAGGGATCTTAACCTTGATCCTGGCGTTATAACACTATACTCTACCCAACTGAGCTAACTGGCCAGCCCCGTTTGCCCATATTAAAATTGGGTTGTCTCAGGCTGGCCCGGTGGCGCACTGGAGAGTGCGCCGCTTGGGAGTGCGGCGGCGCTCCTGCCGAGGGTTCGGATCCCATGTGGAGACCGGTTCCCGCTCACTGGCTGAGCGCGGTGCGGGTGCAACACGGAGGGTTGCGATCCCGTTGCCGGTCCCCAGTACGGCACGGGCGCGACACCGAGGGTTGCGATCCCATTACCGGTCAGTAAAAAAGACAAAAAAAAAAAAGGAAAAAAAAAAATTGGGTTGTCTCTTTATTGTTGTTGAGTTGTAAGAGTTCTTTACTTATTCTGGATTCTAGACCCTTATCAGATATAAGATTTGAAAATATTTTCTCCCATTCTGTGGGAAGAACTTTTTAAAACTATTGATTTCTCAGCCCTAAGTCAGATTCACTGAATCAGCACCTTATAAGTTAAAAGAAAAAAGTTTTTCAGGTGATTCTGATGACCCACCAGGTTTGGGAATCAATGATCCAGCCTAGTGCTTTTCAAACTTCAATGTGCATACATACAAATCACATAGGGAGCTTGGTAAAATGCAGATTCTGAGTGAAATAGAAAATCACCAGTAGAATACCAGTAATAACTTGCAAATATGATCCATTGATGAATGCTAAAATTGGTGGGCAAAAGTTTAAGGAGAAAATAGATATTTGCATATTATCAAAGTATCTCCCAAATGTGTATTAGTTACAGAAGTACAGATAGTTACCTCACAGTTGAGAAACCTGGCAGATACCACCTTAATCAAATGATCAAGGTTAACATGACCAGTAAGTAATAAGACATATTGATACCACGTGCCCTCTCTGATATAACCTTCTGAAAAAAGCACAACCTTTGTGGTAATCCTCCCCAAAACAGATAACCTCAATCTAACCATGAGAAAACATCAGACAAACCCAAATTGAGGTACATTTTACAAAATACCTAACCAGAACTGTTTAAAAACGTTGAGGTTACGAAAGACAAGAAAGACTGAGAAACTGTCACAGATTGGAGGAAACTCAGAGACATGACACTAAATAAATCTAATGTGGTATCCTGGATTGAATCCTGAACAGATAAAACCCAAATACACTGTAGTTTAGTTAATAGTATTGTACCAATGTTAACCGTTTTGATTAATTAAGTTTTATTAATTAATTAGTTTTGATAATTGTATCACGGATAAATAGGATGTTAACATTAGCGAAAGCTCTGTAAATGGTATATAGAAATTTGCTCTACTATTTTTGCAACCCTAATGAAAGTCTAAAATTTCGAAATAAAAAGTTTTTAGACTATGCAGATTCTGATACTGTAAGTGGGGGGTGGAAGCCATGGATTCTGTCTTTCTAACAAGTTCTCAGTACAGACTAATGCTGCTGGTGTACATACCCCACTTTGAGTAGCAAGAGTGTAGACCAGTGGTTCTCACACTTGACCATGCAGCAGAATAACCTGGAGAGCTTTTAAAAACAGATTGTTGAACCTCACTCCCATAGTTTCTCATTCAGTATGTCCAGGGTGGGGCCAAAGAAGTTGCATTAAGTTCCCAGGTGATGCTGATGTTGCTGATCAGCTAAGAATGGTTTTTACATTTTTAAAAAATCGTAAATTTTTTTTTAAAAACAGGAATATAAGTGATAGAGAGTATGCTATAGTGTGGGGCTTACAACACCAAGGTCAAGGGTTTGGATCCCCATACCGGCCAGCCAGCAAAAATCAGGAATATTAAACAGAAACTATGTGGCCTCCAAAGCCATATTTCTCTAAAATATTTACAGAAAATGGTTGCTGAGTCCTGGACCCTTGCATTTCAGAATGAAGCTTTTAAAGAACACTAATGCCTAGGTCCACTCAGAGATTCTTAGTTAATTAATCTGGCTTGGGTCCTTGGTGTCAATGTTTTTTAAATGCTCCTCCTTAATTTTGATGTGCAACCAGGTTTGAGAATTACTGACTTAGACTATCCATCTGCCTCAGAAAAAACTTGCTCTTCAACCATTCCAGAGAGCTGTGGATGAGCATGAACGAATGTCAAGTAGCACTTCTGCAATTTAGAACTCACTTCAAAAAGTTGAGCTACTCTTTTGTGAAGATTATCAAAATCCAAACATAAATCAACATTTCCTCCTCTCACCTGTCCCCTCCCAAGTGAATGTAAATTAACACTGGGTTATACATCAATAATAATCACAAAGGACCTCAAACAAACAAGTGAAACCATGCAGGATGGTCTAAAATAAATAGGCTAGGACAGACAGAGGTGGGCCAGAGGAGGGATCACAGTGAGACTTTCCCTGTGGAATGGCTGACATGGTGCTAGAGAGTTTAGGGAAGGGGAGAAAGGTGGAGGGCTGAGAAATGGTGGTGGTGCCGAGGTACCTGAAGAAACACCACAAAATACCTTCAGCTTCATCACAATCCCAACATTTCTTGGTTTCCCATTTGAGCATAATTAGGGCAAGAGATCCCTCTAATATTTGGCCAACCCCTTCACACTCTTACCCTTCACCTATTATTCCTCTGCCAAAGAGGAGGGTTTAGCTAGAGTTGCTCTCCTTGCTCAAGGAATCTGAGGACCTCACCTCAGCCCATTCTGAGAAAGGTCTGTGTTTGTTCTCGTACCTGTAGTCTCCTCAGCCTGATTGAAGCCACAGATCTGGCAGATGCTCTGGACCCACTTATTCATGTCCTCCTCTGTCTCAGCCACCAGGTAAAAGGTGCGCTCACTGGTCTTGATGTCAAACACAAAACTATCCTGCAGTTCCTTCTTATTGAAGGTCAGGCCTGCATCCACTTGCTCACAGAAGTTCAGGTTGATGATCCGTAGGGGCTTCTTGGAGTGATCATTCTTGTAATATTCCAGAACATCAGGGTCACCGCTCATCCGGCCACTCCGCAGGATAAACCAGCGTTTCTTCCATGCCTAAATCACACCAGGAAGGAATAAAAAGACGGGGGGAAGTCCTTAGTTATTTCAAAGCTTTTAACAGGTCCTCAGATATCACAGGTTAAGGATGGGGACTGCTGGACCTGCAGGCTGCACATGGCCTGTGTCTCTCTTTCAGACAGAGGATGATTTAAGAATGCACATTAGTGTAGCATTTCACTGTGGAAACATCATTCCCATTCTTTAGATAAGAAAGTTAGACGAAGACACTTCAGAGCAATATTCCTTTAGGCTAAAATACAGGTCCAAACTCATTGTACTTTTAGGCAGGGTAGAACTTGCAAAACCATATCTCAGTTTGTAGGTGGGGACCCCCTCTAAAGCCTTGTAAGTTGAAGCAACAATGTCACACACAGTAAGTAGCAGAAAAATAAGTTTCCTAACTTTTAGTACAATGTGCTTTTTACCAAATCATGATGGAAGAATCTCAGACACACCCTTCTAAATTTCTCTGTAGCATTATTATATTCAGGATTTATTTTTCTGTCTTGTTTACTGGTAAATCCCTAGTACTTACATACCAAGTGCTCAATATGTATTATTGAATGAATATACTTATACCATTCCATACTATAGAATTTAATACTTGATTACACATTCCCTTACATTGTTTTCTGCAATCCATCTCTTCAACAAAACTGAGTAATCAGTGAGCAGACACAACACAAACTGGTAAAAAGATACATATAATAGCGAGCTTTAGGTTGAGTCTATGCTTTATCACTGACATGCTGTGATTTTTGTTTAAGTCGCTTACCTCTTCGAATCTTGCCTCATCTGTATAATGAGAATCACCACCACCACCACCACTTGCACTACCTACCTCAAAGGGCCTTATTATGCAAATGAACCCAAAGCACTTTGTATACAACCCCTAAGCACTACAAATGCCAAGAATTTGATAATTATCACAATTCTTTAGACTCCATGGGCACCTACACTCCATTAATTCTATCACCTTTTCACTCTGACCATTTATCCCTGTCCTTATTTCCCTCATTCTCCTTTCTTCTTTCTCCATTCATCTTATTTATCTGTTAAAATCACAACCCTGGCCAAGTCTAATGCTCTGCCTACCTGTTTCCATTCAGCTGTATGTAGTTGAGAAAACCATACAACCATGTTGACTGGTCTCACTTTAATTTCAAGTGGGCCCTCATGCTGCCCCCAAATCCTACTATGTTTACCTAATTCATGACTTTCTGCTGCTCTTTGGCAACAATTTCTGAACTTCTCTCTCTTTAAACCTCTAACACCTCCACTCCTTTGTTTCTTATTTCATGAAAAATTATAAACAATCAAAGGAGAATTTACACATGCTCCATCACCACATTTACCAAACTGCCTGCATCTGTAGGCATGCACTCTGTTACTAGGGAGCATAAACAGTTCATCCAGTCTAAGGCCAGCCTTCTTCCATTTGTGCACACCCTCCCACCTACACAGGGACATCACTTCAACAATTTTCCCCCTCTCTGGAATTGTTGCACTTTTCCTCCCTACTAGGAGCATTCCCCTCAAGACACCAACTACTTCCATCTTAGGGAAAAAAATTAAAAGCTTGATTTGATCCCACATTCCTCTCCAACTATGGCCTGTTTTTCCTACTCCTCTTTAAACATCAAAGAGTTTCTATACTACTAATCTTTGTTTCCTCTCCTATTTGAAAGCACTCTATAATCAGGCTATTCCCCCCCACTGCACCACTGAAATAGCTCATCAAAGGTCACAAAGACTTCAATGCTGCTAAATCAACCTTCAGGACTTGATCTCTCAGCAACATCTGATAACAGGTTATTATTCCATTACTTTCTTCACTTGGCTTCAGCGTCCACTCTCAATTCTCCTTCTATCTCCCTGGACTCTCTTTTTCAATCTCCAGTGTTGGTTCTTCCTGACCTCTAAACATTGGAATGCCCCAATGCTCAGTTCTCAGACTCTTTCTGTTCTCTTTCTACACCTACTCCCTAGGTTATTTTATTTAGTTTCAGACCTTTAAAAGCCGTCTAATTGATGTGATTCCCAAATTTATATCTGCAGCACAGACCCATCTACTGAACTGAGAGTTTTTTGTTTGTTTTTTTAGGAATGTATTTATTTTTATTGAAACATATTGATTGTACATATTTAAAGGGTACAGAGTTATATTTTAATATATGTATACAACATGTAATGATCAAATCAGGGTAAATACATCATTGTAACAATTTATCGTCTTTGTGATGAGAACATTTGAGCTCCTCTCTATGTTCATTTGAGAATGTACAATAAATTATTGTTACTTGCAAATGCCTAGCACCACCATACAACATAGAACTTATTTTTATTATTTAGCTGTAATTGTGTCCATTAATTAACCTCTCCCTATCCCCCCGCTCCCTCCCCTTCCCAGCCTCTAGTAACCACAATTCTATTTTGTACTTGTCTATTCCCAACTAGACTATGAACAAAGATCTTCGTCACTGAATCTTTCTTACCTCTCTTGTCTCATTTATGTTTCCTCCCTACCTCATTTCCTCACCGTCTTGCATCCATCCAACAAATACTTATTTAGTGCTTACTATGCTCCAAGCCTTATTCTAGATGCTGAGGACACAGTAGGAATTTCTGGTCTCACAGAACTTTTAGGTGCACAAGAAATTACTTATTATTCTCCTAATGTACCATATAATTTCATGACTTCATGTCTTTGCACAAGCTGTAGTTTCTACCTAGAATGCCTTTCACCTTACTTCATCCATCTGGAGAATTCCTATGTCCTCTCGGCGCCAGCTCAAGTGTCACTTCTCCTGGAAGGCCTTTATTAACTCCTCCAGGTAGAGCTGGTGCTCCTGCTTCCACTCTCTTAATATGCTGTGCTTTCTCCCATTTTGGCATTTCTTCCCCTGACTTTGGCATTTCTACTCTCCATTTGGCATTTCAATTGCTTATATGTCTTATATAGTTTTAAGTTGTAACTTATATAACTTATAAGTTCTGAGCATCTTAAGGTTAGGATCCTTTGGGGCCAACAGCTACTTGGCAGAGTACTTAACACATATGAGAACTCACTGAAGATCTGTTGGCTTTTTTTAATTCAGTGAATATGTTAATTTATTCAAACTAATCCATGCAATTTAAAAATATAAGTTAGCTTTCACAGTAGCAAGTAGGAAAGTAGGACAGCAAGAAGATTACAGAAAAAAGAATAAGATAAAGATATGCAGTGGATTTGCTCTGTGATTTCTTTATCAGAATGAGGGGAACGAGATGCTAGGCATAGTGAGCATCTAATAAATACTTATAAGAGGGTCTAGGAGTATCAGCTGAAAAGTGTCCCATGATACAGAAATGAAAAATTACTGTTGGAGTACTGACACATAATGCAAGGAAGATATGGGAAGATGAATCCTGAATATGCTATCAAAGAGAAAGCTTTTTCAGGACTGTTCTCATATTTATACAAAATCTCATACAAAAATTAACTAAAAATAGATTACAAACTTAAATGTAAAATACAAATAGAACTCAGCAAGCTACAAAATCATATGACCAAGTGGAGTTTATTCCAAGGAGGTAGGGCTGATTCAATATTTGAAATCAATCAATGTAATCTACCATATTAACAGGCTAAAGAAGAAAAATTACATGGTCATATTAATCAATGCAGAAAAAAACATCTGACAAAATTCAACACCCATTCATAATTAAAAACTCTCAGAGAAATAGAAATACAGGGAAACTTCCTCAACTTGATAAAGAGCATCAACAAAAGACAAATTTTCAATGTTATACTTAGTTTTGAGAGACTGAATGCTCTCCCTCCAAGATCAGGAACAAGGCAAGGATGTTCTCTCTTACCACATTTACTCAACATAGTGCTGGAAGTTCTAGTCAGGGCAATAAAGCAAGAAACAGATATAAAAGGCATACAGATTGGAAAGGAAGAAAAAAAAAACTGTCCTTATTTGCAGATGACATGATTGTTTACATAGAAGATCCCATGGAATCCATTTAAAAAAACCTCCAGGGACTAATAAATGAGTCCAGAAAAGTCACAGGATACAAGACAAACACACAAAAATTAATCTATTTTTATGCACTAGCAATGAATATGTAGGCATAGAAAATAAAAATACAATGCTATTTATAATCACATTTAAAAAATGGAAAAGGTGTAAATCTAACAAAATGCACAGAGCATATGTGCTGAAAACAATGCTGATGAAAGAAATCAAAGACGACCTAAAAAAAGGGAGAGATATACCATGTTCATGAATTGGAAGACTAAATATAGTACATCTCCCCAAACTGATGTACAGGTTTAACACAATTCCTATCAAAATTCCAGCAAGAATTTTTGTAGATGTAAACAAAATTCTTCCAAAGTGTATACAGAAAGGCAAAGGAAGCATAATAGCTAAAATAATTTTGAAAAAGAATAAAATGGAATATTTTAAGACTTATTATATGAGAAGTCTTCAAAAAGTTCATGGAAAGATTCATATTATCTTTTAATTCCATTTTTCCACAAACTTTTTTTTTTTTTGTCTTTTGTCTTTTTTTCCGTGTCCGGCAACGGATCACAACCCTCAGTGTTGCCCCCGTACCGGACTGGGGACCGGCAACGGGATCGCAAGCCTCGGTGCTGCTCCCGCGCCTCGCTCAACCAGTGAGCGGGAGCCGGTCTGTATGTGGGATCCGAACCCTCGGACGGGAGCGCCGCCGCGCTTCCCAAGCGGCGCACTATCCAGTGCGCCACCGGGCCGGCCCTCCACAAACTTTTTGAAGTACCTTCATATACCTATGGTAATTAAGACTATGTGGTATTGGGGGGGAGACAGACACAGAGAATGGAATAGAACAGGAAATCCAGAAACAGACCCACACATGCCCAGCTGATTTTTGACAAAGGTGTAAAAGCAACTCAATGGAGGACAGATAGCTTTTTCAACTAATGTTGCTAGGGCCAGCCTGGTGGCGCACTGGAT